TTACTAATTGAAGAATTTATATATAATTTATATATAAATCTTGTATAATCTGCATCACATAGCTCTTCAGATAACTGGCAAATTATCTATTAAAAGAATTGCAAACTTATGAATAATGATAAAAAAATCAAAGTTCTAATTAAATATTGTAAGTCTAATAATTATACTTAGTCAAAAAAAATATTATTTAGTTAATTAATAAATAAATCTATAGATTTCTTAAGTAAATTACAGATATACTTGAATATAATATTTTATTTATAAAATTTATAATTTGGTGCATCTTGCATCATGGTGCACCCCTATTACATGGTTTGCATTTTTAAAAAAATTTTATTGGCTAATTTATACTAAACCGATTTTATACACATATCACGTCTGGCCAAATATCGATATATATTATATTTAATTTATTGTACTTCGCTTTTTTTTTTACAATATACTGTACTATATACTGACGAATTTTATTCTTTTTTAGGTTATTCTGCCGAATTTTATCCTTCTTTAGGTTATTCTAAAGCATGGCATTATGTGTCTGGCTAAATATCGATATGTATTATAATACTTCACTTTTTTTTACAATTTACTACTACAGTATTAATGAATTTTATCCTTCTTTAGGTTATTCTAAAGCGAATACTATACTAGGGCTTTGTATGAACTTTTAAAGAAATGTAATTGAGACAAGTTTGTAATTTGTCGAGCTTATGACTATCGGGCTTCCATTCGTCAGAATCTTAAATAAACTTTTTTTTCTCTGAATTCGTTATTACTAATATAGTAATACTATACTTACAAATAACTTTTTTTCAGACCAAAATCAGATCAAGATTATAATGTCAAACAAGAATGGAAAAGCATAATGAGGATGATATCGATATATCAACGTATTTTGAGGAAACTTATTGCAATAAAACTATAAATAATATATTTAAGGATCTAGAGCCAGTATCTTTAAAAAAAAGAAACTTTTTTGATGATTTTGAAGAAGCTGAATCTCACGTATGACGATTTGCTAAATACAAGGGGTTTAAGATACAACTTGGACATTTAACGAAAGTAGATATAGCAAAAAACAAAAGTATAACTCACAAGCGAACTATTCTTTGCAAGCATTCAGGTATATTCGTACCAAAAAATATCGCAAGATCAAGTACTTTAGCTGATTAATGTATCTATAGCATGTTAACCTCTCATGCCTCTTGAAAAATAATCCTAATTTTTGCATAACTGTTACTACTTTAAATGATGAACATAGTCATGACTTATCTCCTAAGATAATACAGTTTGAAAAGGGTAAACAGTTTACTGAAGAAATGCGGAAAAAGATTGAATTCCTTGTCACAAAATGCCAGCTTGGAGCAACTATTATGAGACGTATATTAAGAGAGAAGTTTTCTACTCATCCTATATTTTTTAATGATCTTTATGCCGAAATACAATGATGTTGACTATCAAGCAATATAATAAAAAGTGATACAGCAAATTTTTATGATCAATTGTTGTCAAAACAACGAGAGGATTCTCTCTGGTTTATTGAGATTATGTGGAAGAGTGAAACTAATATATTAACAAATTTGTTCTGGATGAGTTCAGAACAAATTTTGTTATGGCATGAATTTGGTAAGTCAATTGGGCATGATAACATGGCAGGTACCAATAGATACAATATGCCCTTTCATTATTTGTAGTTCAGAATGATAATATGCAATCCCGTATCATTGCTCAAGCCTTTATCTGTAATGAAATAATCGAAACATACCAATGGGTCCTTCAAATAACAAAAAAAATGACCAATAATAGATGCTCTTGTGTTTTTGTAACTGATGGTGATCCAGCAATGGAACAGACAATATTTTTAGAATATCCAGAAATAAAACATCTTTTTTGTATTTGGCATGTTAAGCAAAATATAAAAAAGATGTTGTGTAGTAAATTGAAAGATTCATTTAATGAGTTTTACAGTAGATTTTGGCAATGCAGAAATGCAGATATGGTACATGGCTTTGAGTACTATTGGGAGCAACTTGTAAGCTTTCTTAATGCAAAGTTATACTTTGAACGTTATTTTTATAAGCGTAGATTTTCATGGGCATGTGCATTTACTACAATAGAATTTATGCTTGGAATTCAATCTATGTTGTTCATTAAAAGTTAGAATGCATGCATCAAAAGGGTCTTGAAAAGCAGCAATATATCATTGTGTGATTTGGGTAAAGTATTAATGGAATGAAGCAATGAAGAACAAAAGTGAAAGCAATATGAAGAATGAAAACGCAGTATTTCTTCTACAGCAAGCATTGTCACAGTTTTTCCTGCCATTGAATCTTTGGTAAAACAATATTTGGGATCAAATGTTTCTAATTTTTTGATAGAGCAAATGAAAGAAAGTTTGTATTATATAGCTAGCTGTTCTACGATTAAAGAGGTTGAGTCACTTACCATTTATGAGCCTTCACAAAGTAAAGACATGGATGACGAATCTGATGCTGTTAATTTATCTGCTAAATATTTTCTGGATCATTTGGAACAGAATATAGTTGAAGAAATCTAGAAATCGTCAAGAGTTACAAGTAATAGAATTAATCATTTTATATTTCTTCTTATTAATGGTTCATATAGTTGTACATGTCTTTTATAGCAAAAAAAAGGTCTCGTTTGTCAACATTTTTTTCATTTGCTAAATATTACCGAGAAAGCATATTTTAACCTCCAGCTTATTGCATGATGTTGGATTCCAAGAGACCAACGATTAAACATCACAAAGGAGTGTATACATTTAGATCAACGATTTAGTAATGCTGTTACTAATATAGATATTATATCAGAAAACAACACATGTCAATTTAGGTGGTTACAACTATTTGTTAATAATGAGTCAGGTGAAATCACAAATGAAGTGTTTATTAATGAGATGCTTTTTTATAGAAAAGTTTAGAGTATTGCACGTACTGCTGTAAATAAGTATATATTGTATTATGATCATGAATTTATTAATTTAATTGAAGATTATTTAAGTAGGGTTCATATTAGAGAAGATAAATTGATTAAACAACAGGGAACTTCAACATATACTTTATCTAACATTGAAGGTAACCCACTTGTGAATCCTTGAAAGGTGGTTGGTAAAGGATGATCAAAAGCTGCAAGTCACAAAAATACTACGAATACTATATTACAAGAAACAGACAATAAGAAAAAACATAAACAATACATTTGCAGATTTTGTAAGAAGCCAGGCCATAATATAGCGACTTGTCTACATAAAAGAGAATAATTATATTGGGTTGACGAGAATTGGTGAAGGTTGACAAAGGTTGGTGAAAATTGTTGATTATTATACTATCATATTAGCAATTATATATTTTGAATGCATGTATGTTTGCTCATTTGATGGTTTTGTACGTTCACAAGTATTGCTTGATTGTTTTGTATGTTTGTAGCATTATTATCAGATAGGATTGATTGTAGCAATTGTAGTATTATATAGCGATAGAATATAATTGAATTGTTTTGTATTATCTTTTGAATAACTAACTAGTTCCAAGAACATTATGTATATAGGTTTCTGAACTTGTATTATTTCACTGACAAGCACTTCATTGATATCACATTTTACTAACAATTATTCATTGACAAGTTTATTTTAACGAATAGTCTATTAACCAAAACTTATTTCACTGACTAGTTATTTTTCATAAATCATACTAACCAAATTGCTTTGTTTTGTTAGTAAATGATTGTTGGTAAAATATGGTGTTTATAATATGATCGTTAGTGAAATAATATGGATTCCAGATTTTTTTGTACAGATTAAAAGCCTACATTATACTTAATAAAGTTTAATTATTGCTATTTATTAACAATCATTTTAAGTTTTGATTCTGCATACAAAAATACTATAAATTTGAAAAATTTGTGAACTATAATGATTAGTGATTGATTAGTTAATAGTTAGAATAGGCTTTTAATAATTGATTTAGGATAGTGATTAGTTAGTGGTTAGGGTTAGGGTTAGAGTAGTGATTAGTTAGAGTTTAGATTAGCTAGTTAGCAATTAGAGTAGTTAGTGTTTAGGATTAGTTAATAATTGGTTAGTTGGTGATTAGGATAGATTAGTTAGAGATGAAAATTTATGTTATACTGTAGCGTTAAAGTTACATAAATATCACGTGATTTGTATAACAGATATTAGTGTACATCATATGCTTTACGTATTATATGTATTACATGTTTATGTGTTATATATATCACATACTTTACATATTACACACATTACATGATTAGAGTATACTAAATATTTATTGCATCATGTGAGAGGTGTACCATGGTGCAGGTGTACTATTTTAAAAAATTCTTCATTTATTATATCTGAGTTAGTGATACAAATCGAAAATCAAATTAATTGATTAGTTGTAAAGTTGACAACTAATCGATTTGAATTTTACAGACCCAAATTAGTCAATTAATTGATTAGTCGACTAATCGATTAATCGATTAGCCAACTAATCGATTAATTAATTAATCGATTAGCCAATTAATTGACTAGTCGATTGGTCAATTAAATCAACCGATTATATAAGAATATCAATTAGTTGTTTTAGTTGCTATCTTACTTGTATTTTACCAAGTTTTGTTTATTATTTATTCAATTAATCAATTAGTCGGCCAATCGATTAGTCAACTAATTGATTAATTGATTAATCGATTAGTCGATTAATCAATTAATCGATTGGCCAACTAATCGATTAGTTGAATAAAAACTGATTCGATTAGTTAGATAAAATAATCTATTAACTAATTGATTGAAAAATTTTCATCGATTTGTATCACTAATCTAAGTAAAGCCAGACTAATTTAATTCTTTGTTTAATATAACCTCCCTATTTTTTAAAATTTATATGAATCTAATACTTATTAATAGTAATTAATAGTATTTATCACTCCTTAATTTTTTAAATTTTATATAACTAACACATGTTAAATCAACCAATAAAATTGCTGTTTTTTTTTAATTTGTATATTT